AGTGCTGTTCCACTAGTTGCTTAAACCTTTCAATTGCTTCAACGTCCTTGGTAGATGCCTCCACTCTTACTGTCGCCTCTACAGCAATCTCCAAGTATGAGTGGTGATCGTCGAAAGTGTGCGTCCTTTACTGTCACGAAGACATCTGCGCCTCTTGAAATAAGAAATCTTGTAAAACGGCTGATCTCACGTGGTAAATGACCAAGTGTAACATTCGAAAGTCGTCCTGGAAGCAATTTTGTCGCGGTTATTGCGTATCGATCATGTTGGTTGTTTCTTTCATGGATGCAGGAAAGAACGTCTCCAACGTTAGGCTTCCATATCTCTTTACACACGTGAAAGCCTCTCAGGCCGCAGGGAAAGGAATATTGGACAGTACCAGAAACTGAAGTCATCATCAAAACCCGGGCATCAAAATCAAAGTGCCTTGTTTTGAAAGGATGGGAAAAAGCCGGAATAAAGGATGTTTTCAATGGAAAAGAAGTGCTACCGTCTGTTGATCCGTATCAAGACATTTACGCAAACAATTAAACAGCATCAGTCGTGAAACTAAACGGCAACATTTTCTCTTTGGAGTCTGCAGAAAGGAATATTTAATATTCATGGATAATGAGGTCAATTGACCACCAAAAACGTGACTTAAATTCAAGCATGAACTACAAACCGCGCCTTGAACACATTGTGAGAACATCTTTCTTGTTACTGTTTACATGATCAGTTGCGTTTCTGTTTATTTGGACAATGTTGATTAAGTTGTTTGATCAAATTCAGGGACATGTTGAATAACATTGACAAAGAAATAAAGTGTGTCTCACTCAAAAACGCGAAATTAAAGTGAGTCAAAATGAAAATTTTTCGCAAAATCGCGGAATGTGCTAACCTCAAAATAGCGAAATTAACGTGTCGCGAAAATTTCCTGTAATAAGATAACACGATTTGGAAAACAGACTGACGTTATGCCAGCGAGAATTCTTCAGCTGCAAGACAACAGAGGCCAAACAAACGCTGCGGAAAAATATTTTACTTCCGCGCTGGATTTTTTATATTGTTTATTTTTCAACCAGTCAGATCACCGGAGCATATAACATGGCGTCCACTGTTTTCATACTACACCTTGCGCGCAATTTCCTTCTCACCAGCTAAAGGTGAATTTATTATCTTATAGCTAAGACTCAGTGTAGTGAGGGTCTTGCAGGGGATCAGCGCATCACGTTTGCTATGCGAGAGATGCCCAAAGACCGGGATCTTGTTTTATCTTTGTTTTTTAATCAAAGAGTTAATCTTGAAACCTCCAGATTCACCGAGAAAAGAATCGAAACAAAGGAAACTATAATTCAAATTACAGCGTGTTGTTCCTGTTCTGTGCTTTGACTGATATGTGTTCCAATTACAATAGCTTCACTATAAATACTCACAACAGAACCTTGGGTGCCTGTGGAGAGTTACATTCTGAACCTTATTGTTTTCCTTATTGCTCTTTCCAGTTCTTTGGTCAAAGTTCAGCGTTATTACAGGCAGGAGATCAAGGTAAGATTAAAATCACAAACTTTAATATCATGGGGTATCTTCGGCAGGTTTCTCAACTTTTTTTCCTCGGGAATTCTCTTAGATCAGGTGGGTGAAGATCCGGTGTAATTTTGGGTTAAGTTCGTGTGGGTGATTTCAAAGACAAGTTTCGAAGTCTTAAATTTAGTTCTTGCTTGGCTCAGAAGAATAAGAAACAAACAAATAACATATATTAGTAATTTATTATTATTTCTTGCTCCCGATGAGCACGTGTGGACTAGACCGCTTCACTGTAACTTTTTACCTGGGAATGTGATGGAAACTCCAGATTTGAATCGATGTCAGTTTCTTCTCTTCCGATGCATTTCGTTTTTGCCTGCCCGTTCACTTTTTCTCGTTTCGTCTTCGTCGGAAATGCAACAAGTAAGATACTAGTAGTAATCAAAGATTAGAGCAGTGCGCTTACGTGCATCCTTTCCATGTTTGGTCTACTTTGGTGGCGTTCGAATGGCTCGATAGAAAACTAAATTTGATCGAATGACAGATAACGATCTGCACGTGAAGTTGAAGCCTGCGGTAAAAGTGTTTTTAATCAATTAAGTAAGACAAAATATTTTCCAGGAAAGTGCATTTAAACTGTTGGCGACACGTAGAATTCAATTTCAGATCGCCAACACTTGTAACAATTAAGCTTATTTCTTGAGAAAATAAAGTTTTGGCCAGTGACCCTGCAAGACAGCGCATCCCCAAATGTTTTTAAATTTTGTGTTTATAATTGTTCGTATTTACATCTTGTTCAGTTTCATAAATGAAAGAGGTGAATTAACCATTCTGACTATAAACCCCGGCCTTTTGGTGAGTTACACAACACGGAAAGTTTATTTTCTGACATGTGACGACGAATTTACTGAGCTACAAATCCAAAAATTTATTTTCCGACCACAGATCTGAGGGTCGTCTTGGCTATTTGCCGAGCCTCACGGAATATTTGTTTTCTTACAAAACTGACTCAGAGCCATTTGCCGTCACCGAGCTACAATTCTTTCCTGATAACACATGCTTTAGTTACATGTTGTCGAAGGCTAGTGGGTCAACATACATGCAGCTTTGCAGGAATCGTGCACACTTGGAATCTATACGGCGAATACGCGACTACGTGAATGCACTCATGATGTTAATTTGCCCCTACTGTGGGGCGGAACCAAATCGGCGAACAAATCCGGGCTTAAAACTGAAAAAGAACTTCCACTTTGAGAGGGCTAATTTGGGTTCTCAGAGGCCTAGGTTATACTTAAAAATTCCTCAAAAAGCCCAAAAAGACAGATCACCAATATTTCAAGTACGATATCTTTCTTGGGTTTTAACGCAATGCTATCAAATTTTCAAGATTAGTAAAGACCACAATTACCTAGGTGTTAACTCCCACAATATTTTCAATTTATAAAATGTTTGCCCTGTTATTTCCCATTTTATTTTATGCACAGGATGAACTTAATTCCATGCCTCTTGAACCATGCATTAGTAAATTATTATGCTTACAGCAAACACAACTTTTTAAAACTTATCGGGTAGTTATTCAACTATTGTGGCATGTGACCTCGATAAATGTATTTTTGAAGTCAGACTGCGAACTCCTTTAACGTCTTACCTGTACTGTTTGTTCATCGCCTGGATTTTCACCAAGCTTTTAGATTTCCTGAGGAAGACTCTGAGGTTTCCAGTCTTTTAGGGCTCAAGGAAATGTCAGAACCTCTTGGAACAGAATCTTGGAACCTGAAAGATTTTCTGGAAGACGGAGGATTGCATTCAACTGCAGCCATTCCTGTGTTCGCGAATTTTCCACACACTTTACCCCCAAAGCTACCAAAGATATTCTGCGTTTTCCTTTGACACGAGGAACAAGAACATAACAACATTAGCGGAAAAGCTTTGGCTTTGGTTTTGTTTCAGTTATAAGACGATTGGTTCTTTCTTATCTCTAGTTGTGATAGTAGGAAGCAAATTCGCCATACTACCAAACCCAAACACTGATGTAAACTACGAATCAGTCTGGCGATAAAGGGCAGAATACTTAAAATTAATTATGGCGAAAAACTCTGTTTTAAGGACCGTGGAATACCCATTTCTCAAAAATACCAAGAGCGACAAAAATTGAATCGAGAAATTGGAAGTACGATGTATCGAGAGTAAAATTTAATTGGAAAAAATTCAACAGAAAAAACCATTTGATTCGAGATGTTGGAAGGGTCGAGAAATTTAGATTTCACTGCACGGTTAATAAGGGCTGTTTCCAAACAATTCATACGTAACAGCAATGCACGCTAAAGAACAATTCAGTAGTTTTCACCTGCACTGTTTGCTTGTTTATCGGCAGGAATTCTTCCAAGCTTTAAATGTTCTGAGAAATATTCTAAAGTTTGCGGCCTTTTTCGAGCTCGAGGGTAAATTTGACAGCAATTACAATCCCAAAGATCTCCTGAAGAATGGGGATACGGCCATTCCTGTGTTCCATCCAAAGCAACCAAAGAGGGCATTTCGACGATAAGACGCGTTCAATAAGAATTACAATAACTTCTATCGAGCTATAAGATCTCCTTAAAAGGAAGCGATATGTAGTTGTTGTGTTTTCGCTTTGTTATTTTGGTGACAGACGGTCTGTGGGATACCGACGCCTTTTGTCTCTCGTTCACCTGCTATTAAAGGATAGGCGTCTTGTAACAACCTTGGTAAAGTCAGGATTGCAACGCTCAATCCTTTTGATCTGCTCCTTAATTTCAAAGTTTGGAGACAATTTTCTTACTTTACCCTCAGCGCTTTGATCTAACGGAGAGTGGGAAGCGTTTATGATAATTAAACGGTAAAAAGATAAAAAGCTCGTAACAGCCAAATGTATCAAATGGGTGAGGACGTTAGACAGATTGCAAGAAGAAGCCACATATTGAGAGGAAGAGTGGAGGGAGATGTACATGAGGTGTACCGTATTTTAACGGAGCTTGACGAGGAATTATGCAAGCCCAGAAATAGTAAAGATCTGCCGGAGTCGTTGAAGGCCTCACTAAGAAAACATTTCATAGACATCTACTGGAGTTTAGAGTTACACCTGTTGTATCACCTCGGTGAATCTAACGCTGATCCAAGGCTGAAAATGTGGGCCGCTTGCCTATGGTCGACCTAACAGATGAGGAGATGAGTAAACTTCCAGGCCAAAAACACGCAACTGACCCTGGAAGCAAACTCATGGAAATTGTAAGTATAGGCTCTGCAAGACAGCTTGCTGAGTTTGTAATTTGAAATTTATGTGATGAAAAGTGATAATATAANCACCTGCTACTAAAGGATAGGCGTCGTGTAACAACCTTGGTAAAGTCAGGATCGCAACGCTCATTCCTTTTGATTTGTTCCTTAATTTTAAAGTTTGGAGACAATTTTCTTACTTTAACTTCAGCGCTTTGATCTAAAGGAAAGTAAAAAGATAAAGAGCTCGTAACAGCCAAATGTCTCAAATGGATGACGATGTTAGACAGATTGCAAGAAGAAGCCAAAGATTGAGAAGCAGAGTGGAGAAGGATGTAGATAAAGTGTGCCAGATTTTAATGACGCTTGACGAGGAATGCAGGCACAGAAATGGTGAAGATCTGCCGAAGGCCTCACTAACAAAACATTTCAGAGACATCTACTGGAGTTTAAAGTTGCACCTGTTGTTTCACCTCGGTGAATCTAACGCTGATTCAAAGCTCCAAAATGTGGGCCACTTACATATGGTCGACCTAACAGATGAGGAGATGAGTAAACTTCCAGACCAAAAACACGCAACTGACCCTGGAAGCAAACTCATGGAAATTGTAAGTATAGGCTCTGCAAGACAGCTTGCTGAGTTTGTAATTTGAAATTTATGTGATGAAAAGTGATAATATAATCCTTTGAATCTTAATTTTAATTGTGCAGATCCAGAAAATATCCACACCTCTTCCACGAAAGGGATTTTTCTAAGAACTGAACATTTTCCTCTTCCTGTAATTTGTCAAAATCATACAAATGAAACTTCATTGAATAATTTTGATTTTGAACTT